ACTCACATGTCCCAAGCAATATGACATGATCACCACTGCAGAGCTACCAAACAAGAAAAAGTACCCTGAGCTATACAAGATGGTCACGAAGCATATGATGCATGGTCCTTGTGGGACGCTTAATCCATACTGTCCGTGCACGGTGGGTCGTGGGTCATGCAAGAACTGTTACCCGTGCCCATTCTGTGAGGCCACGTCACAGGGAAAGGATTCATACCCCATCTATCGGTGACGCAATGATGGTCGTACGCAAAAAGTTCGAGGCCATTACCTGGACAATCAATGGGTCGTTCCTTACAACCCTTGCCTACCACGTACCTTCAACTGCCATATAAATGTTGAGGCCTGTGGGAGCATCAAATCAGTAAAGTATCTGTTCAAGTACATATATAAGGGACATGACAGGGCATCGGTGGTGATGAGGGAGATCAAGCATTATAGAGATGACCAGTGGGTGATGCCTCTAGAAGCACTGTGGAGGATATATGGCTTTGACTTGAGCAAGAACCATCCACCAGTACAGCAGCTGCAGCTTCATCTACCTGACATGCACATGGTGGCATTTCATAAATAGGACAAGGTCGAACGGATCATTAATAGACCAGGTGTAGAAGAGTCAATGCCGACAGCATACTTCGAGGCAAACAGGATGCATGAGGAAGCCCACGGAATATTGTATCGGGACTTCCTAGAGCATTTTACCTGGCAATCTGATGGTAAATTCTGGTAGAAAAGGAAAAACTCCGTTTTCCAAGTTGGCAGAGTCATGTCGGCCCATCCTGCTGAGGGAGAACGCTACTTTCTTCGTGTTTTCTTAAACAATGTTGCTGGTGCTACCTCATACGAACACCTTAGGACGGTTGATGGCGTGCTACTACCTTCGTTCCGTGAAGCAACTGAAAGGAGGGGTCTAATCGAAGAAGATAATACACTGGATGAATGTCTAAGTGAAGCTACTTTCTTCTAGATGCCTTCCTCTCTGTGAAGGCTATTTGCAATAATATTGGTATTCTGCGAGCCAAATGATGTGATGGGGTTGTGGAAAAAACACTATGGTGCATTGTTAGAGGACTACAGCTGCAATAATATATCCTCGGATCTGGTGCAACAGATGGTTTTGATAGACATTAAAAACATGCTGCAGTCTATGGGGAAGGACATAAGGTCATTTCCTCTTCCAGATATTGATCACTCATACGACGATGCCAGCCATATTCCTCATGAGATATTTGAGGAAGCTAGCATCGAGCAGAATCCCGAAGATGTGCTATTGTGCGACTTACTCAACATCGAGCAAAGGTCTGCCTACGATGAGATAATGGCCATTGTCTACAGCAAACAAGGTGGGTTGTTCTTTGTGGATGGACCTAGCGGGACGGGAAAGACCTTTTTGTATAGGGCACTTCTCGCAAAACTACATAGCCAGGACAAGCTTGCCATGGCTACAGCTACATCTAGAGTCGCAGCATCCATAATGCTAGGCGGGAGGACGCCCCACTCGCGTTTCAAGATACCCCTCACTGTTGAAGAGGGTGGTTGTTGTAGCTTCACGAAACAGAGTGGTACTGCCAAGTTGCTGCAACAAGCAGCTCTCATAATTTGGGACGAGGCATCTATAAGAGGCAAAATATGAAAGCACTAGACAACAGCCTACAGGATATAATGGGCCGGTCAGACCTACCGTTTGGTGGGAAGACTGTTGTCCTTGGTGGGGATTTCAGACAGGTCCTCCCTGTTGTGCGGAAAGGATCGAGGGCTCAAATAGTCGGTGCTTCTCTACGAAGGTCGTATCTTTGGGAATCCATGCGCCACCTAAAGCTCGTCCGCAATATGAGGGCTCAGAGTGACCCGTGGTTTGCAGATTATCTATTGCGCATTGGTGGAACGGAAGAGGTTAACGAAGATGGCAATGTACGTATTGTAGATGAGATCTGTGTCCCGTACTCTAGCGATACCGAGAAAAATCTTCATAGATTGATCGGCATCATCTTTCCAGATCTAAATGCAAACATGGCGGACAAAGACTACATCACCACCAGAGCGATTTTATCTACACGTAACGATTGGGTTGACATATCAATATGAAAATGATTGATATGTTCCAGGGCGGCGAGACAGTGTATCACAATTTTGACAACGTGGTAGATGATCCACATAACTACTATCCATTGGAGTTCCTTAACTATCTAACCCCAACGGGTTGCCTCCACACGTCTTGAAGCTCAAGCTCGGATGTCCTATTATATTGCTTAGGAATATTGACCCTGCCAATGGGCTATGCAACGGTACAAGGCTGGTGGTGCGGGGGTTCCGAAGAAATACAATCGATGCGAAAATCGTGGTGGGGCAGCATGCTGGGAAGCGGGTATTCCTTCCTTGAATACCGCTATGCCCGTCCGATGACGAGATATTCTCGTTCTAGTTTAAGAGGAAGCAGTTTCCTATCAGGCTGAGCTTTGCCATGATGGTCAACAAGTCACAGGGCGAAACTATCCAGAACGTGGGTGTGTACCTGCCCGCACCGGTGTTCTCTCACGGTCAGTTGTACGTTGCGATGTCTAGAGCCACGTCAAGAACGAATATTAAGATCCTTGCCCTCCCGTCTGATGCAGTTGCACAGGAGGAGGAGGCCAAAAAGGTGGAGAAGAAAAGTGCTAAAAAGAATGTCGAGGGAAAAAATAAGAATGCGTCAAATAAAAAAGATAAGGATAAGAAGACCCCAATAGTGGATGGAACTTTCACGAAGAATATTGTATTTAAGGATGTTCTAACGCTATAGGCGAGGTATTAGAGCATTACTAACACATACAATGTATTTTTTATTCAATTAAATTTTGCACAAATAGTATCTCACTAACGCCATATTTGTTGTCGTTCCTAGGTATTTTTAAATTGGTTATCAGACTCTACATGGAGATGTTGTATACACACTATATGCCAACTTGAAAATCATCCGTACATGTTAGATTTACGTTTCAAGAACAATGTCGTGTAACACGTTTATATTTATTTGAATATTATATTTATGTTTGTATATACAGCCGCTTGTGCATGGTGTTCATCCTGAACGCTTGAAGGCTAATCAACTATGTGTGAGATTACTAAATTAATAAACTATATGTGACATTGTGAGATTATTAAATTAATAAACTATGTGTGATGGCATAATACAAATTGAACAGAAATGACATTGGCATATGGTCTTTGGGGTGTTTGGTTGGAGAGGTGGTGGAGCTAGGAGAGCACCTCCATCAAACCGCCCCTTAAACTCGCATATTATGAATAGCCAATAAACATAGTGTATCTCAAAATAGTCTCCGTCTCGTATTTTGACGAGTCAAATAATTTTAACTTTAACAAAAATACATAAAAACACATTAATATTGTGATATCAGATAAGCATAATTAGGTTGCAAGGGATTGGGATACAAGCCTCTAACCTTTACCCATACCCACCGAGCCATAACCCAGCAGATATCTTTTTTTTCCTTTCCAACCTGCCATCCAAACTCCACCGGAGGAGAGGATGCTGGTTTATTTTATTTAACATTTAACACATAAGAGACCACGACGACGGCCATGGCAAGCGCAAACCGGCGAGCGAGGCAGGCATAAGGGCTGATGAGGACATCACCTGCTCGGATATAACCACAATGGCAACTTTTGATTCACAGAATTACTTACATGGATAAAGAAAATATTTTATTGCATATGGAAAGCATGGAAGGTTAATAAAGTTGATTGGGGACCAAATCCAAGTATTCCTAACGTCCTCCACTAGGCCACCACGTTGCTTTGGTTCCAAGGACAGAAAGAGTCCAAGTACAACACGTTTGGGAAGTTGAATTCGGACTGCAAAATAGTCCCAAATTGCGACGGTCGCCACGACTTCATATGGACACCGATTGGGACGTTCTAGCACTTTTTGGAAAGCTTATCAAGTCTATTTTCCAACGGATCTGGACTCATGGCCATATCTTATCCGATGCTTCTACAGTCATCGTTTCAACACCGGGACCTTTTCTGCCTTTGGTGCTGCGTCACTCTATTTTGGGCTGATGACCCATGTATCAAGTTAGGTCCATTAGAGACGCGTCCTAGGGTTGGAGAACGACCCCAACACCCCCCTGGTCGTTCCCCTATGTATTAATAAGGATTAGAGCCGCCACAAACAGATTGGGTTTTGTTTGTTGAAAGTTTAGCCATTGCTACTTCCTTGTAGACGCGTGTGTCGACTAGACCATCCGTTCTACTTGATTCAGAACCCCAACTTTGTGAGTTCAGATTGGTTTTCATCTCCATATTTGCAATTGAGTTGCTTGTTCTACTTGTTCTTGCTTGTTCCTCGATTGCTTGCAGGAATTACCCTAGTGGTTTGATTGATCGTGCTCCACAAGATCGCGACAGCCGTTGGAGGTGGTGTATCGGTTGCTAAGGCGCAGCATCCTTGGATGGTTGTAGTCGGGCCGTGAACGTCATCTCCATCCCCAAATCGAGTTATCCACCTTCTCTCATCGAAAGATCGGGATTCACCCTAGCGGGTTCATATCAAGGGCTCACCTGGGCTCGGGGTGGCTAGGATGGCGGTGCGGTGGCGAGGTGTGGTTGTGGCGAGTCAGTGCAGTGTAGGCGAAGCAACAGCGCCGGTGTAGCCGATCGTCGTCCCCGTTCCCGGCGATGTCGAGCGGCTCCGTGTTATCTTATTGTACGATCCGTATGCTTTTAGTAAAAAAAAATTTGTTGTCCCATAGTAATGCACAGGCACGCTACCTTGTAGACTATTTAAGAGTATAGAAGTACGTGCACAGAGAGAGATGTTCCTAGAAACGTGTGCGAGACTACTGCTTGGTGGCTCGCTAGCGAGATGCATTTTTACGTTCTCTTAGAGCATCTCCAAGAATTCTCTACTTTTTTCTCCTAAAAACTTGTAGTTTGATAACTCCTAAAAAATTTGAGGAGAAAAAAAAAATCATCTCCGAGAGTTTCTAATAAATAGCATCTCAAAAATCAAATTTGGGGCCCACTGCAACGGTGGCAAAACGAAGCATAGCGGGGGCAGCGGCGGCAAGCTGGAAGGCGCAGCGGTTGCCGTGCAGGAAGCCCGCGGCCTCTCAGCAGAGCATGTCATAAACAGACTAAGCAGCTCATGGAGCACCCCGACTGCCCGCTTCTCTGAAACATCACTACCCTGATTGATGTGGCTGAAATCCTCATATGGAGATACATAAGGGAGCCTCTGGAACCGTTCCAACCAGTCCTTAATCTTTTGCTTCAACCGAAGACCCTTTGACGGGAAGAGCGGGACAGACACCTCTTCCACTGACCCCAACTTCCTCATAGCATTCAGCTGGAGAACTGACAGAGGCATTTCTTCATCCTTTGCATCGTCGATTAGCCCCAATTCCCTCCAATCGTCACCGTCTCCTGAAATTACAATCTTGAATCCATCCTGTGCAATGTCGTGGTCAAGGTCCTTAAAGTAGTCCTCAGGGATGCCAAGATGCCAGAGCATGCCCTGAGCGACACGGAGCGGGAGGCGGCGTCGCGGGCTCATCAGGACGACGCGGCGCAGGCAGCCACAGACATCGGCACGGCGGGCGGCGAAGACGTCCCGCTCCTCCCGCAGGAGTCGGGCGGCGGCATCAGAGAGCCGGAACCAGGGGATGTTGTGCTGCCCCACGGACTCTACGAAGGCGGCGGGGAAGCGGCGGAGGAAAGCGGTGACCCGGCGGTCTGGGGTCTCGAGCGAGGGGCCGAGCTTGGAGACCGCAGATACGGGGGTGGGCGATGGGGAGAGGAGGCACGCGAGGGAGACGAGCGTGCGGATGTCGCGCGCGTGGGAGAGCTCAGGGACGGCATCGAACGAGGAGTCCTTCTTCCGTCGCATCGTCACGTTCACGTACGCCATGGACTGGAGGTGGACGGCGAGGGGAGGGAGAGGCTCGAGCGACCGAGGTTTCGCGAGGGACTGTATGGTGTGGGGAGAAGGCTCCGCGCGACTCAAGAGCCGCGTAGAGTTAGGCGAGTGGCTAAATATTAGGGGAATGGATTAGGAATCATTGGAGAAAGATTTTTTCTTATTTTTCTAAAACCAAGTATTAAGAAGATAAATATGAAACTCTTGAGATGCTCTTACCTCCACGTCAAACAAATAGCTAGTGAAATGGTCAACCGTTGGGGCTGGCCTCAGGGATATGGACGAGTGGTTTCTCGCGTCCCACTGCCGACGGGCGTGGCGGTGCCAGTGCCACTGCTACTGCTACTGCATGCAGCATGCAGAACAAGTCCTTATCCGGTGGATCAGTTTTCCGCTTCTGCAAAATCTTGGGACAGGCGACTCCGTTGAATGGAAGTCTTTGCCTTGGTACAGTGAGCACGACGTACAGATACTGATACTCTCCGTTGAATGGAAGACTTGCTACAGCCTCCATCCAATTCAAGTGGTCCGATCCTAATGTGTTCACTGTGATGTACGTACTAGCATGCAGTTTGGTCACCGAACTAGAATTTTCTACTCAAGATATACATGGGGATACCGTAGATATATATCTGGCGTTGAATTTTTAAATCGAGCTGGAGAGTGGAGACGGCTGTTTTGTTCTTTGTGACATATGGATCGAGTTCACACGATGGGCGTGCGCTGTACCCTGTGAGTACGCTGCCAAAATACAGCTGGCCCACTAGCTAGTTTGCTTACCAGGCTCGATATATCTCTTCTTTTCTATATGTACAACTTCGTCTTCTCTTGTCTTGTCACACTAGTTCGACCAATGCTTGCTTCATTTCCTACGATTTCTTTCATACTCTCTTCATTTCAAATTGAAAAGTCGCTCAAGCCGTTCTAGCTTTTGCAATACTATTTATCAAATATATAGTAAAAATTATATATCTAAAATTACCGAAACAACTTACAATCTAAACCGAAGAGAGTATGTACGTACACATTATTCATATCTTGGATGTCACATAAAACTTATATTAACACTATTTTCTAGGTCGACTACGTTGTTTTTGGGCCCATATTTTCAATGTCTATGAAGATTTATCTTACACATCAAGGACCATGAAGATTTATATGCATGAATGTGTCTCCGTGCTAACGGATAAACAATATTTTACTCCCATTGGTACAGCTAAGTGACCATTTCAAGGTGTCTAAAGCGAACACTTCTAAATTTTCACTGCATGCTACTTTTTTATGTATAAACTTCGAATGTTTCGAATTCATTCAAGTAGATTATTTGTCTTGAATTCGCCATAAATGTTATTCGTCTTGAAAATGGTTTCATGAAAGTATACCTTTACTACATTTCAAAGATATATTCAACGAAATAATGGTGGCAGTCACAATTAAGAACAGTTGACATCAGACTCATTTATTTGTGGCTTGGGAGAGTATCTTCTCATGATTTGACAGTGATATCATCTTCAAAAGGGGTGCATTTAACATTTTTTATTATTAGCATGATCCCATTTAATAATCCCTCTCACGTTCACCTATCTCACAAAATGGTAAGTCAATTTTCATTTGTCACCCACCATTACCAGTGGTGACCGGTTAAATATCCCTCTTAAAAGGGAGGTGTGGCCTTATCTTGTTCTCATGGTAGCGCCAGTACAGAAACAAATGCTCATCTTCATGCATCCACACTCACCCTAACGAAGGCACATACTTACCCTTATGAATGTACCTACACACATGGCACATACTGTCTTTATTTACACCTTCGAGAGACCGAGTGACATCACTATAGAAATTGAGTCCATCTTAAGCTTACCTGAAATGCACATATCAGACAATCTAGTTCTGACGGTTTAAAGCATTAGATTGTCCAGTGCATACACACTACGCCAGATTCTCACACTAAGAACGGGGACATTTTTACTGTAGGGGCGGCTGGGGTTGGGGGCGTCCCTACAGTGGGTGTCTTCAGGCCCCATCAGCTCAGCCACCCCTACAGATAGCACTGTAGGGGCGGCTGGTAACCTGAGCCGCCCCTACAGTTGAGGCTGATCTGTAGGGGCGGCTCAATCACCAGCCGCCCCTGCAGTGCCTATTTATAGGGGCGGCTGCCACCAGCCGCCCCTGCTGTTTGATTGTAGGGGCGACTGAATCATCAGCCACCCCTACTGATGGCGCACGAATAAATAGCAGCCACCCCTTTTTCCACCTCGGGACACACTCTTCTACACAAAAAAAAGGTTGGGAGACCTTAGGCTCCTCTTAAAAATTGCTCTACTAAGGGAGAGGTTTTGATCTCAAATCCTTTGGTGGAGAGGCTCTAAAAGGTAAGGAAATGCTTCTCCAACTCTTTATTTGAAGTTTAATTCGTTGGTTAGTGAGTAATTTGATTTTTGGTTTTCTCTCTCTTCCATGGAGCTTGAGCTAGTTATGAGTGAAATTAGACCCTAATTTTCACTATACTAGGGTAAATTATGTAGGAAAGTAAGATTGCACCCTTTGTTAGTACATCTTTGTTGATTTTAGTGTAGTATTAGTGAAGTTTGGTGCATGTATCATGAAACCCTATATCTAGATCTAGATCTAGGATTTTGTTTTTTTTCAATTTTTTCTTTATGTGACTAGGGTTTGCATGTAGGTGAATGTGTAATATTTTAATTGTTGCTAATGTATAAAATATCCTCTACCATGGCTACTAATTATCATTTAATATTTATTTTGATTCCTTTCTATAATGTGTGTTTTTAATTAGTTATGTATAAATAGGCCATTAATTAATTATCCTCTACCATAAAATTAGAATGGAGTTTGCATGAAAGGTAGTGGATGAAATATTAAATGTTGCTAATTGTTTTCTTTGAAATTGTTTATTTGAACCAATTAATTTATATTTTAAAATATTTATGCATTAATAGTCAATTAATTAACTATCCTCTACTACCATGGTGAGTGTCTCAGGTATATACAATTATTCTCGAGTAATATTCTTTCTTTGGTTGTTTTGTTTCTTTAAGATGGACTACAGGAACTCTTGGATGTATGGTTCGTTAAGACACGACGCTCTGTTCCATGATGAGGTGGACAAATTCATCAAAGCCGTAGAGAAGTGTGACAGAACCGCCCAATTTATACAAGATCAAGTATGGTTGTCCCCGCTAACACGTTGACACACCCATACTTTCACTCATATAAACCCGGTAGTCCGCCGAGTGTCCCGAAAGACCTCGGTAAATCAACATCACAACCAAGATCGCGTGATTAAGCAAATACACATCACATACATCGGGTTGCAGCGGAAATAATGTTACAAAGGGTTTAACAAATAATAGTACAAATTTGGGTTTCAAAACCGCTTAGTGAAAACAACATAGCTTTCAAATGATTACATTAATATAAGTTCCAAATATATTGCTAGCATAAGTGACATCATCCGACAAAAGCATATAGATGAGAAGTAAATATAGAATCACCGAGCCCACCGGTGGTTAGCCACCATCATCAACAGGTCGAGAACTTCACCTGCAACAAGGTGGGATAAACCCTGAGTACTCGAATGTACTCAGCCAGACTTACCCGTCGTAAACCAGAAATAAAGTGACACCAAGGATTATGCAAGGCTTTCTTTAGTGGGCTAGCTGACTTATTTGCGAAAAGCATAAGCTATCATGAAGAAACCATTTTAAGTACTTTGCATCATCTTTATTATGACCTATCCATCTAGGTAAGCACCTGTACTATAGCAATCACTTGATTAACCAATAACATCCAGTTACCAATTTAGATTTAGCATATCCCATACCATCCAGATAACCATCATTGTTCCATAATAATTACTACGATGCAGTAACTCGAGTCAAGTGCTCACTATCCAGGAGCGATGGCGATTCGAATCGATTCCTAACCAGCTGGTGATTTATTCCTTACACAAACCTCACTCACCCGCTAAAGTGAGATATTGATCACCGAGTCAACTTTTCAGGTATCTCGAGTTTGCCAGGAACCACATGTACCCGGGGGCCGACCGACTGCACTTTGGTCTTATCATCCCGCCCCCGTGTCCTACCACACCTGCTCCGGCACAGTGCGCTGCGGGCAATCTACTCGGCCCGAAAAATCTCCCAGCTTCGCGGTCGGAAGGTACTTTATCCGGCCAGCTAAATGTAAGGCATGCGTTCAACATGACTCGAGGGCCAACAACGGTCGGTCCTTAATCGACACAGACGGAAACTAACAGCACCCCAGAACCCTGTCTGGTTGCCTCCAACTTTTCCGTCCGGTCTCCAATTATCCATCACACATGGTTACTTCCAGGATATCATTCTTTCCATAGCTAAATTCTTCCAGTAACCACCTATAATGTAGGTGAACGGATATCACCGATTGCTACCGGTCTAAGCAAGGCTAAGCAGTTATCCGATCCTGATCTAACAGGGAAAAAGGGTAATAAGGTAGGCAAGGATAGTAATAAATGCATCAACGGTTTCGATCAACTCCTACAACTTAATGCAACAATATATAACTCATATATAGAAAAAATTGCTTTTATAAATTAGGAGACTTATAATGCTCCGGGGCTTGCCTGGGATCCGATCCGACACAAGTCAGTTCAGTTAGCTTGCACCGTCCTGGTGATGTCTCGGGTCCTAGCACTTGCTTAGTCCTTCCATCTTTGGGATAGATCCATCAAACACCGTCTTCGGGTTTGGCTCCAACATCACGTCCTTCACGTGGTGCATCTAGCGTACCTAGATGAGATGCAATATGCAAGTGCATAAATATGAAGAATAGTACCATGAGACGCATCACAAAATAGCAAGCAAGACAAGCATAGTTTTACACTAACACACTTAACAATATACAAGCAAACACTATAATTGGAATCTGCCAATTTCTGGACATGCAAACAGCAGCTACAAGATTTAGCTATAACTGGAGTTATACAAATC